AAATTACAAATTCTATGAAGATGAATAACATCATTCTCGCGACAGGGTCCTGATGCATATTTTTTTGGGGATTCAGATTGGATTCGATTGATTGCATTGAATTTCATCCCGTCGCATCGCTCTTAATATTTTTTTGTCGTTTCACATTTGGTCACATTTTATATCTTGGGACTTGGAATGAGTCACTATCGGTGAGCAACAATAGATAATGTGATTATTCCGTATTTCAATGCAAGCACCAATCGTGAGTAGAGTGGGCAATTACTCTAGATCGTCGTTCGAGATGGATAATTACTCTAGATCGTCGTTCGAGATCCTGCGACCTGTTTTTTCCTTCCGGCCCATTTCAGCCGTCGTTGGCCACCAGGTTGTTGGATAGATCGTGGGATAAAAGGTGGGGAGGTCCTTCGCCAATGACTCCGTCGGGATGTCGCTGGGCATCAGACTAGGACCATCGCTCGGAAGCGAACTTGGGGTTCCAGTTGGGAATCCCAGCCCCGTTCCCGGTCGCACCAGCGTGCTTCGGAAGGTAGTAGGCACCGCGGTCGGCTCGGGGGTGGGGGCCAGAGTAGAGGGAGCACCACTGGGAGACTCGGTGGGTCCACTGCTGGGAGATTTTGTGGGCGCCGGAGACACTGTTGGGGAAACGGTCGGTTCGGGCGTGATGGGAGCCCTGGTGGGCATTAGGGTGGGTGGTCCGGTGGGCTTCTGGGAAGGCTTGCTGGTGGTGGGTTTTTGTGTGGGACTCTCGGATGGGGCCTCGCTGGGAGGCATGCTGGGAGCGTTCGAAGGGGCACTACTGCCCACCGCCAGGTAGGTATCGGGTCTGTCCAGTTCCGACACGAAGACACCAGCAGCATTCACCGGAGGCCGGGTGGGGTAATGTCGGTACGTCGGACGGAGAGTGGGGGCCCGTAGCGCACCGCCGACCTCTTCTTCTTCCGCCTCGTCAAACAACGGCCGATGAACCGCATTCAGATTCGTCGTTTGGGGGCTGTTTGGCGCAGCGGTATATTGCCGAATCGGTGCCGGAGTAGGTGTACCGAAGCCAGTTCCCGTTCCTGGTCGGGAAGCATTATGATTGTTGGCGGGGTTCTGCAAAGGGTTCCGATTCACCGCGGTCGGAGCTTGAGTACCGCCGCCCAGAGAACCCGAAGTCGAGCCCGATCCACGGTTGATTTCGCTGGGGCTGCTTGCTGAACCTGTCGGTTTAGATGCAGGTGTGCCCTCAAGGCTTTCTAGTGCGGAAAAGCCGCTCCCGATCGGACGACCGATGTAACGGCTCTCCTCGCTTTGATTGATGTAAAATGGATAATCAATGGATGGATGCGCYGATACCGTTGGCACAAAGGTGGTTGGTGACCAGGTAGGGAAATCAGTCAGCTCTACTGGTTTCCTTGTTGGATAAGGACCATCATCACTCTGATT